GAATTAGTGCTCATTCCCAGTGAAGGTATCAATCTACGTAGATCGATCCAACTCTGTGGGGATTCTCACTGAATGCAATCAATTTAAATGTTTCCAATCAATACCAGGAGGAGGTGTGTAAATATGTTAGACTGATAAGTCTCCATTACTCTCCATGATTAATTGAAAAACATGCTGGCACATACGTTACATGCCATCTTCTAAAGTTTCGTATTGTGTAATTTGACTTTTAGTTTCTGTCTCTAACCCAATATTAAAAACAATTTCATTTCTTTAATGTTCTATAAAACAAAGCATATCACACCTTTATAATCGCACCTGTCAGTGTTTTTGCAATGTGTCCTTGTCAACAAAACTTTTACCTTCAGCAATATTTCACAGCCTTCCACTCATTCCTTTATAAAGATATACGACCATCTTGGAGTTTAATACTATTGAGAAAACAAATGGTCACATTTTTAAAATATAAAGAGACTAACCTTTGTAGTAGCCATGTCTAGAATACTTGGTCCCAATGTTACAGTCCGCCCCAGCATCTAGCAGTGCTTTCAAACACTGGAAATACCCTTTCTCTGCAGCAAGGTGGACTGCAGTCACTTCAAAACGGTCTTTGGCATCCAGAGCAGCTGTAATTCAATAATGACAGTACTACTGTCACAGTGATCAGGATTAAGTTTATTAAAAACAACAAATATGTACTGTAATTAAACTACATGTACAGTGTATACCGGCCCGTGTATACCGTTTCAATGATTTCACAATGATGGTGACACCATGTTTTTTATGTGTTTAGAATATTCTTGTTAAATTGTATAAAACTTAAGTGTAAAACAGATACTGATACAGATCTGCATAACCCATTATACAGCACTTGTTGTATATCTGTAAAAACAGATGCCATGCAGTATTAAAACAACTTTCACTTTTCCAGGTTTGTGATTCAATGCAGTCTGCGACGTGTCTCATGACTGAAAGTGCATTTTTATAATATATGGCAAAATGTATAGCAAAATATATAGTGTTTACCTCCATGCTTTATCAACAGTGTAATACACTCTAAAAACCCATGTTCTGCACAAATTTGAAGCGGAGTCATGTAATTCTGAGAGGCATAAAACAAAGTTTTGTTGTATTCGGCAGCGTTCACCGACACACCTGCCTCTAGCAAGGATTTTATAGTATCAAAATCTCCCTCCTGTGAAGCTTCCACAATGCGCTGCGTCAGCTCTATCCCTCTGCTAGCCGTGTCAGTGCACAACCACCCCTCCTGCGCCATTGCGAATCATAGTGTGATAATTCAAACCTCGAATGCCTAGGGTAGAAATTAGCGCCACCAGTCAAGACAGCCCCGTACCAAAGCGAGAACCGACAAATTATAAGAGTCGGAACAAACAACAAGAATCGTGTATTCTCAACTCAGCTTTATGACCACTGTCAAGTTCTTCCATTATAACAATAAAAATAAGGAATTCATTAATACGAAAAGGAGTCCACATTTATCGATATCCACACTGAACAGGCTTAAAATAATGAAATTATGACTACTGAAAAACACGCTTTGTCTCTTTATTTATTTTTTCGACTGACTTATTTACCAATCAGACCGGTTTTTTGAAGGGGGGTCCGGAACGACACACCTCGGATGCAAAGTCAACCATCGCCCCCTTGGTGTGGGGTTTGGGGCCTGCTCAAGGGGCCCGAATTTTTTTGGTTTTCTGGAGAGCAAACAGTGCCCTTTGGTACGGTTTAGAACTATGATATAGCTAGTCAAAATTGTAATTTCAAGAGGGAAATATTGGTGTGACATATTTTTCAGAAACCGAAGGGGGGGGGTCAGGACCCCCCTGACACCACCACCCCCAAATCCGCCACTGCATTTAGGGCTCTTTGCTATAAATGTAAAAGACATGGTTAAAATAAAAATTTGAATTTAAATTGAGACAGTCGTGGATTTTTGTTCTGTACACATATATGTTTAAAAATTGAATACAACTTTGAATTCATTCAATTTTATTTTTTGACACTTCAGCATGTGAAACGCACCTCTATATTGGGTTTGGGTGTAAAACGACATAAGACGCACCCATCAAAAGTGGCGCGCGACATCAGAGACATATAAAGACATAAGAGGCGCCACCACACAACTGCGTGGACTTTTTTTCATATTTCTCGATAACCTTGCAGAGGCAATTGGGCCTTGCAGAGCGCACACCCCAAAAACATTAAATAGCTCAAAAATTGTTCGAGACTTTCAGACAAACAGGTCTGTAAGTTTCTACCATGGCCCATAGGAGCCTACGCGTGCGTCTTTTAGACGCCCCTTTACATGCGAAAACGACAAGGCCTATGCCGAGTTCGTCTTTTACTACAGAGCTTTGANCTTTGCTTTTCATTTTTTTGTGCATTTTGCTCAAAAATCAAACGCGAAACTGAATGAGATGTAGGGATATCGAAATGTTACATGTATTTCAACAAAACTGTGCTCATTTTAAATATCAAATACATTGATCGACAATATTGCGATAAAAATGCAAATCAGATGGGACGAGAAAACCAAAAGGACAGATTTCCAATTCAACAGTTAATCGTATTAACTTAGAAATACTAAAGCTATTGTTATTTTCATTGTTGTTATTATTATCATTTAAACATTTTTGGCAAAACGAAGTGACGAAGATGATTTAATGACTGTTTCTGGTGAGTTCCATAGATAGGCAAGATGTGTTTACGTTTTCTAAGGCATCTAGTTTCGTAAATATGCAATTATATTATCTTAATTTGAAGTATATTACATTACCTAAAGCAACGTTTTTCCGTAATTATTATAAAAGCTAAATTTCTTAGTGGCTCCATCAATATGTAAACGAGAAATAAATATCTGCTTATTTCTCCGTGATAATCCGTATTCCTTCTTAGGCAATCAAAAATTGATATATCATCCCGTATTCGTAAAATTACAAAATAATATTGAAAGGCATCTAAAAAAAACAATGTTACAGTTAAATCTTGATATACCTCAAATTTTCAAACAAAATTCAAATTAAACATAATTGTTTTAATCGTAAAAAGTGATAGTCTAAGAAATACGTTACCCTTGATGAGCACAGCGACGAAATGTAGAATGACAAGCAACAGCGTTGTAATCATTATCGTTCAACGGATTAGTTTTTCCTTGATTTGATGCTGACAGTAATTTTAAGACGCTCGAATTCGACAAAAAGACTTTTAAATCATTCATAAAAAAATTAAAACTTCGAAAATATCGGCCTCGATAACATTCTTTGCGGCTTTGTCAGTTTGGGCGGCGTCAAGGAGAGTGTACACAGGGCATTTGACACGGATTAATAGTTTCGTACGAGGTTCAAACACCAAACAAACAAAAACGGGCTAGTCTTATTTAGGCCAAGGTGTGGGAATGAAATAATTTAAATTCAAAATCTATGAAGGTTCGTGGATTGCTTTAAAATGGTGGAATTGTTTTAATTTTATTTCAGTCTTGGAAATGAGTAACCAAGAATAGAAATATTTTATTTTCAGTGAAATAAATGTTAAAGATTCACGTTTAAACTACTACTAATTCACAAATGGATATTAATGATTTCCTCAACCGTAACTCGAACGCGTTAAGTATTTCCATTTATTCCTCGCCTGGACGACGCGGTTAACAAACTGGCATGCTAATAGCTCTTCTATAGACTGATAATAGTACACCTGTGGCTGGAGTTTCTAAGCCCTAAACAGGGGTGCGTGAAGATGTTTTCCACTACATATTTTGCACTGAATTTTGGATTGATGAAATAAAACGAAATACATGTATTACATAAGTAATACTTAGAAGTTATATAGAAATAAAAATTAATTAAAAGAAAAAAACAAACAATTGTGACAGTCTTCTCTCTTGTCGAAATGAACAAAGAAACACATGTGAAAGTATCGAAATGCAGTTTAGCATGCAAATATTTGATACGGATCAGATCTAGAGTTGGTATCTTTTGATAAAAAAAGTCACTTCCACTAGGACACCGGGTTTTCTATATTAACCCCGCCCCTTGCTTTTAACATTCGTCAGAATCAGGAGATGATACTGCAGATACAGTATTTGTGATTGATATCTTCGCGAAAAGATACGGGATAACCCCTTAAATCTCAAACATCAAACTGATAACAGGAAAGCGTCACTGTCATGGGAGCCCAGCCAAGCTGGTGGACTGTTTACTTGGATATCTGCTGGTGGAATTTCAATCTTAGTTAACTGGGAGACACTGTGTATATAATGGGGTAGAAGGGGGCTATCCCCTTTTCCCGAAACATAATATAGGATTTGACCTAATTTTTTTATTCGTCTATTCATTTCTTTTTATCTTTGGATCTGTCACCTAACGTAAATTTAAATAGAAACAATCAAACAAACAAACAAACAAACAAAAAAAAAAAAGATACAAAAAAAAAAAAAATGGCAGAATATAAAAAAGATGCATGAATTTATTATCGCTTAAGTTATTAAAATCATTTGAAATGCGCACCATGTGTAAAGCAACATGTGGTGAAGAATATTGGACCCTGAGCTTCAATATCTTGTCAGTATTATTATATGGCTATTTCATTAATGGCATATGAAAAAGGGATATTGGCACGAGTAACAGCTTGTGGACCCGTATTAAATTAAATACGTTTGTCATGCATTGTACCTGCGTGTGCAGAAACTTCATCTGCATTTGAAAGGAACAGGACGATGAGGTAAGACTAGAGTTTCCTCAATTAGAAAAAAGGTGGGCTGCCGTTTATATTTGATTGATAGGACGTCGTTATGTCAACATACCTTTAAAGATGCATTTGAAGTCTTTTTTTGCCACAAAAGCCGACTAAATGCCACCAGATGGTTTCATATAGTACAACTTTGAGAAATACCAAAAGCCATCGTTCCATTTAACCGAAAAATAATATTTGAACGGATTTTCTGCTTGCTTTTTGTGCCTTCTAAAAACGGGACAGATAAGTAGGTCAAATTTTAGACAAAAATTTGAAGAAGGAGCAGTTAAAAGCCCTTTTATGGCTGGTCGAGTGATTGCACTCCCTTCATCCTTTGGCGTGTAGACTTTATTTGAGAGCATTCACACCGAGAAGAGCCGAGGTCAAGCAAGGCCGAGACCTAAATATGGCGGACCTACATGAAAGGAGAACCGCGTAATCTTTTAATGGTCTCTCAATGACATTCATTGACATTTATTGAGAGACCATTTAGGGATTATGACTGGACCTAGGCTCTTCACGATGTGAATGCTCTCATTGAGTAGAATAAGATACTAGTAGGAGTGGTTAATATGCGTTACTAGGAATCCATTAAGGCTCAGCTAAAAATGTACCTTTAAACTCTAGACTTACAGTTCTTTATTTAGTCCACTGAAGACAGTGAATTATTAACGTCAACATGAAGTCAATTATTGTATAGTACACAGCTGGACCTAGAAGGATATAACTAGACAATGCTGACATAACTCAAGTATAGGCACCATCAGTGTAGGCCCTATAGGCACTTAATGTCTTCTACACGGAGTACAGGTAAATGTCCTATGTAGACTCACTTTACATGTGAATATGAACGTGTATTTAGACGGCATATTCCTAAACCAGTACATGCACGACTTTCCGTTGATGTGCCAATTTGATATCATTTATGTGTTTTGATATGTTACCATGGTGATAAATGGTATCAATGAGAGCGACTGGCCTTCGTGTCATGCTGCGAGGTAGGTTTACCGGATTCATTACTTTAATGTTCAGGTACATAAATGTGAGAAATGTACATTTTGTTGTTTTTTCTTGTAAATACATTGTGTGTAGGCCATCACTGAACTGATTAAAGCGCAGTAATAGAGGTGTGAATCAGACTTTCCATCCCAATAACATTATAAGTAGACGGTGGAAATGTGTGTGGATGTGTGTGTGAAATATCTAAGACATTACTTATAATAAGGTATCGGCGCAAGAACGCCATTTGAGAAGAACGTTTTGAATATTAATATTTTATCTTTGGCGTCCATTCCCTCTGTTTCAAAATATACGAAAGTCTATTTTTTTCTATCATTATTAATTTATCTTTAATTTCATTATATTCTTTTGACTCGCTATGGCACATGTATTCAAATCATATTAAAATAATGCATGACTTTGAACTCTTACAAAAATGTAGTGCATTTTCTCAGGCTCCCTATAAGCTAGAAACGATATGTAAAATTGCCATTTTAATGCAACTCTTTTTCTCAAAGAAGTAGCTGTTTATTAAAGCACATGACATCTAGAGGATTTTCAGTAGTCAACTGGTCACAAAACAAAATGAGCTTGATAAATTACAGATGGTTCCCTTTAAGTTATTGATTTTCCATCAGTGTTACCTGTTTTTCCAGACAAAATGATAAATGTGTTTTTTGTTTCGTCAGTAAATTTGACTAGCGAGAATGCCATCGCTTGTTCCATAATGCTTTCTGATTGAATTGAATCCAGAAGCAACATTGTTTTCCGAACGATTTCAGATATTGAGAATTATGAATTTTTAAAAGTAGATAAACACATCACAGCGGCGACAGCGAATGCACGGCTAAATTCAGAACGGTTTTGACAAAAGCTGTCCGAGTCCATTCTCCAGGATCCAAGCTATTGATTGCAGCTCAATAATACAGTTCATATTTTATCTTTGGGTTAAGGTCGGTGATAGNTGTGCTTTCACCCAGCTTTATGAGGCCTTTTGAATCACTTGAATAGCTGTCTTGGTTATAGAGAAAATCCCAATACCGAAAACGGCATTTTTCCCCTCAAATTGGCGCCAGAGCGTCATCCGTTGGACACTGTACTTAATCCCCGTCTTTAATTGGCCTTTTGGGAAGTTTGTTTTAATTTTTTATAAAAACTTATAAGCCCAGGGCTTTGTTTCTATGACTTTGGTCCTTTTACTATCACCGACCTTAAACAGATAGCACAGCAGGAAGGAGGTCGGATGAAAGAGATATGACACAGGGAATTGTAATATTAAGCTCTGTATTCCTGGAATTAAGCATAAAACCTTTGTTTTATACCGATCTGAAAGTGAATGTTATTAAAAACGTTACCGTAAAGAGAAAAAAACAAACCGTAACCAAACATGGTATCAAATAAACTAAAGCCAGGAACTATTCATAACTTTGAACTGGAAGTAAAGTGCAGTGACTTAACAAATCTGGACTACTAGCAGGGGATAACTATTATTTCATTCAGTATCAACAAATTATCTATATCAATAACAATTTATAATTCTACAGCTTGGGTTTATAATTACATTAATGAGATTTGGTCAGTCACATGTACTAGAGTTAGTCGCCATTTCTAACCATTGAGAGTTTCTCACTAGAAGTAAACAGTGTCATTTGTGGGATGTATGTCACTCATATTGAATTTTATGTATATGTCTATATGATATGAATGTTCATTTCAGTGGAAAAATCAGAATGACCCCCACCGTGAGGAGTAAAACACAACCAGTCGTACCGGGAAGCCATGCCCGTCCTGGATTCGGAAGCCAAACATTTCGAGCAATAGCAGTGGTGCAGTTTGTTCTTGGTAGCTTGTGTATCATCGTGGGCATTGTGGATAATCTGACCAAGAGTTTTCTTGGAGAAGTTGGTCATGGCATTTGGGGAGGCTTATTGGTGTGTACCGTTATTGATAGACTGAGTGAATAATATTCTTCGGTGTTTGCCTTCTCGTGTTGAAAAATTATTATTACAATTCTTTTTTCGTTGTGCGTGTGTGCGTGTGCGCCTACGAGCGAGCGTGTGCAGTATCCTGTTTAGAAAGCATCAAAATATGTATACTACTTAAAGGGTATTATATCCGGGATTTTCCGGCAAAATCTAATTTTCCTCGAAAAACAGTAATTTTCTCCAACCCGTGTAGCTAGACCCATCTCTGCCCATATGGTGTCGATGTTTATACCATTTCAAATGATTCAGTTTTATGTTTCCCAAACGTTTAGACTGCCACGTCTTCCTGTACATTTTAGAAGACAATATTGACATCATGTACTTTTATTTCAGGGGTTTAATTGTTCTTAATGTCTGAATTGAGAAAGATTAGCACATTAACGGAAGAAGTAGTCGTATAAAATTTGACTTAGGGATGGTTTCAAACGCATGCAAATAGTATACCTTAAAAGGTGTTTGAATTATTTATATCGTTAGAATCATTCAAATAACTCACTCATTTAGCTTAAATGTTCCAGGTGATTCACAGACGCAATCCACTATCGATTTCCAAGTTCCTCGCTTGCATATATATAGATATATATCACATGTGTATTGCCATTATATGCTCCTTCCTATTGGATCAATGACCTATGTATTATTCGTCTTTATTATTCAACTGTATTCTTGTCCACGATCCCATGATTAGAACTCTACTGAAGCGGCCTTCTATACGTTACCAATTAATTTCTCCATAATTCCCCATTGTCTCCAGGGACGTGAGCAATATCCATGTTTGCCTCTGTTTCAGTAAATGCCACCAGGAATGTGACACGCTATGGATGGAGTTTCTTTTTTCTTTTCGTGCTCTGATTTTCAATTATAAAGTATTTTTGGTTTTCCTTTTATGGTTTTCACGCAATATTGAAATCAATTTTGCAATTCATTTTTCGATCATATGTGAGTGTGTGTGTGTGTGTTTGTGTGTGTGCGTGCGTGCGTATGCCCCCCCCCCTCCGCGAGCCAAACGGTGCGTGCATTAGAAACTTAGAAACTCTGAGTTGTTACATGATACTTACTCAGTGCTACCAAATTGTTCACTCTAGCTTGAGTGCCTATATCTAGAAAGCAACCGCTACATTGCATTGCATTGCTATCCAGTTTAGAAATTAATTTAGAATAGAGTGATAACGAGAGGCAGTGGCGGATTTACAGTGTGGCTGCCCCCCCCCCCCTTCGATTTCTGACAAAAATCACCCCAATGGTCCCCGCTTGAAATTAAATTATAATTTTGACTAGCTGAATCACAGTTCTTAACCGTATCAAATGGCACCGTTTGCCCTCTAAAATATCAAAATTTTTCTGAGCCCTTCATCGGGCCCCGAACCCCACGCCAAGGAAGGGGAGGGGAGGATCGGCTTCGCATCCTGGATCCGCCCCAGGAGGGGCTTACTACGTAGCAAACCCACCTTCCTTCTAATTATCAAACGGCATGTGTACGGGTTATATTTTGGGAAATAAGGTGGATCTTCCCTTCATCTCAGTTTTTGCTTGGCCAGGTGACAATCTACCTTCATATCATTTCAGTGCGTCTCCGCAGGAGTAAGTGGCGTTTATGCGTCATCTAACAAGTCAACTAGATCGGTAGGTACATGTAGCAGAATAACTTCTAAGCGACTAACGTGAAATATACGATTCTGCATGAAAATGCATGAAAATGCATGAAAATATAAATAAAAACCTTCACTGGGTAATTTTGTCATCCCAAACTATTTCAAGCAGATGAATCCATAGTAGTTCACTGAAAAAGAAACTTTTGCAATGTTTTTCCTGCAATGCTTACTACTGGCCCCCGTTTCACAAAAAACATAAGTCGGGTTTCCTGGATAAGAGCCTGATCAAAGTAGACTTAAAGATTGTTCTGAAAGTTTCGACAATTTTCGGGTTTATGTTCTTACATGTATGTGAAACAGGATGCATAGTAGCCCTACTCTTCTTCGCCAACCGCCTCGATTTGTTTCCAAAAAAAAAAAAAAAGTATTTTTTTAAATAACTTATGGTTTTATCGTGCCTAATGCAAATTGTTTTATACATCTATATATATATCCAGTTCTTCTCAGTTACTTCGTTCTGTGTATTTTGCAAGATTCTAGTCTGCATGGTGTTGTCAACAGTGTCTGCCTTCGCAGGCATAATTGCTTTTGGGCTGACAGTCGATGCCGTGGCAAGCGAAGCCAGGAGAATCAGCTGCGCTCCTGCAGTCCCAACCCAACCACCTACGACTACAACCATTGTATGCAGATATGATTATAAAGTAAGTCTTCGAGCACAGTCAGAACAGCGGACTAACAGATCCACGGATCAAATATGGCCCACCCACTTGAATGCTTGTTGCGTTATCCCCGTGGGGAATCTATTTTGTGTTTAATCGGGAATTAAGCGGCAAGTATTTAAGTGGGTCGCCATATTTGATCCGCAGATCTGTTAGTCCGCTGTTCTGAAAGCGCTCTTACACCCTGAGTTTCAGAGGACAGTGACTAATCTCTGTACTGTCCACAAACACCCTGCTGTTTCCAGATGCTGTGGAAACCCAGAGGCATGCTTATAATACAGGGATGAGTTTCTCAGGGTGGAGTATTTTAGTACTGAAAGATATTCGAATTGAATAGATATTAATTCTAGACAATTTATTAGGCATTATCTACAGTTTAGGTGAGAGGTTTAGGTGCTAGAGTTATTACGAATATTCCTTGTATCTGTGCAATGAAAACCAGGCATTTCGTTTTTACCTTTCGCCTGGGAAGTCATGAGAAATTACTTTCAAACCTACCCACATGTATTTAATTTGAATTGACATTTTTACATATATCTTTTTTCAGACGATGCACGTTGCAGTTGATTCTGTTTTGCTCCTGTTTGAATTATTGTTGATAAGCGCCTGTGTGTTAACAGCATATTTGGCCACGAAAGCCGTGTGGCCGGTGGACCTAGGTACGTCAATGCATTAGTTTGCTGTGTGCCACTCTTTTAGACCCTATATGTTTACAACAAAACGCACTTCTCGAATGATGGTGCAGTATCATCGATCTTTCTACAAAAAACCCATCTGTTTTACATAGGATGTGTTCTTAATTGTATTATTTCCCATGGCCAGGTTCAATCGGGATTTTGTTTTTATATTCAGGCCGTTTTGGTCAAACATTCCCTACAGAGGCAACGATCAGTGGAAATGGACCAGCCGTTTCAAATGGGCCCACCCTTGCAACAGAACCTGCAAATGAAGAGCGAGATCCAGAAATGCAACCTGTGAGCACTAACGGGACAGCTGTCTCCTTTAAGAAGGAGTCTGAAACGAATTCTGTCAAAACTAATTCAGAAGAAAATAAAAACGACACTGGCAAAACGGAGGATATTAATTCCGCATCGATAAAAGTCGATATCGAAGAAGAAACATGGCGCATTTAAAGAACATGGGGATAAATTTTACACAAACTCCGACGACTGAGATTTAAAATAGCCCGGGTGTGTTCTTTGATGGATGAGTATTATAAAATTGTGAAGACCTCACTGTTTTAAATTCTCAAGATGTTGGAGAATCCACCACTGCCTTGTGATACATATCTCCAATATAAAGATTTGCCACGCAGGTTTTTTCATGTCTTTTAACGTCGCCCTCTCGTCCATCATACACATCCTGCTGAGAATAGAATCCGGATGATGACTCAGTTTGACTGATTCAATTTTAATTAAACTGAAAATTAACAATATGGAAATTTGCCGGTGCTCCTTCTTTTTAAAAATAACTGTTTCAATAATAACTATAATTGCTATTGCGTTATCAATCGTTTGTCCCAACTAGCACAATTGTTGTTTTTAATTATTGTAAAGATGTAGTGTTTTATAATGAAATTTACAGCACTTGATTTGCACACAAATCAGGCTTGCCTGAGAAAACTTCACCATCCTGATATGGGACTTCAAAAGGTACAGAACCAAGGAAACAATTTACAGTTGGGCATGCCATGAAGATATTATTTACATCCTCAGGCACACATTTTACATTGCACATTGTACAAAGCGCCCCGGTGTTACCCTCCTCCAGGGTGGCAGATATTTTAGGTAAATTTTCCAAAAGCCAGAGAACCAAATGACCGTCTATGTATTTAAAGACATGTGTGACTATCTTGTGAAAAATCAATCTGTCGCCCTGGTAGAGGGTACCCCAGTGTCACGTACCAGTCCCCCATTGTTTGGCTTCCTTTGGTTTGCAAGGTGAACCCCGTCCTAGATTTTGACCCAATCACGCTAACCCTAATCTATACGAACCTAATGGAGGCCAGACGCTTTGTTATATGGACCCTCAGTTCCTTCACACAGATGAGGAGAGAAAGGGAGCCGGGGGTCCCGGGGGGAAAGGGGACTGGTACGAATGCTGAACTTTGAAAATTATTGCTTACAGGCTGTTCCGGACATTTGAGGCCCGATGACTACCTTAGAGCTTCTGGATTGATCTTATCTCTGGAAAGAATGAAGAAGGAACAAGATATGATATCCAAACACTTGGTTTTATTAAGATACCAAAGTAAGCACCCGCAACCGAAATAAAAAACAGTACTTAGCATATTTCTTTTCAAAAGAATTCACAAATTTCGAATTTTAAGGGTGTGTAATATTTCATGCTCTTTACGTGACGTTTCGTAATGTTTAGTCAAAAATATTTCCAGCAATTTGATTTTTAAAAAAATAGTACAAAAAGCATCCTTAATAGTTAACATCATTTATACGGTTACCGTATAGTTGAATTTCATATTTAAACAAGCGAACGCCAAGAATGAATAATGCCTTTCTAAATTTTGTTTTCATTTTGGCTATTCTGGTACTTTGTAATATCGAAGGGCTCTGACGAACCACTTGGGACTTTGTATATGGCCTCGTTGTAAGATGGCGGAAGGCCTGGTGTGGACTGGGAGCCCATTGCATCTTGGGAATCATTTGTGGGCGAGGGGAGCACGGAAGAACAGCCAGGCTGGCTTGGAGCCAGATTCATCAACATACCTAAAATCGAAAATAATGCAGTTTTAAGTGTGTTGTACAATGGTGACGAAAAAATTACATTCGTTTCACTAAATATGACATTTGTGAACACTTACATTTTAGCTACATATATACCAAATATTAAGCATATATCTTTTGTTCATTTCAGTATCAAATATAAAAAGAAATATCGCTCTGTCCTGCAATGTTCTGTCCCCTTAAAATAATAATAATAATAATAATAATAATAAAACAAGTATCGAATAAAAAAATATATTACTGCATTAAAAATATAGAGTAAAGCCATCACACACACACCACGAAGACCTTTGTTACACCTAAAGTGAACACAAAATAACTTTTGTCATGAGACTAAAACTTTCTCACTTTCTCATAGATATGTAGTATGTGTGAATAGCGTGCAGAGCGAATTTAACATGGTCATCTAGAACAACTACCTCGCTTAAACGTAACACTCAGAGGCTTAAAGTTCAAATAAAATAGTCAGTGCACAGTAACACGCCAATCCAGTTCTTGCGTTGCTAAGAGAGGAATATTTACTCCATTATATTACCTGGTTGTGGCACGATGAACGCGGATGAAGCAGGGACAGTATAAACCACATATGGAGACAGCTGTGAACCCTGTAGAGATGAGAACGAAAAACAGCTATGAAAGAATGAAGAAGTGCCAACTTAAACAATTTTATGAAGTAAAAATTTAATCAAATAGTATTCATTTATTTATGTAATTTATATATTCATAATGAATTGCGTATAATAGGTTACTCTAGAAGCTCTAGATCTAATCTATAATCGGCACTATCGCCACAATATATTTAAACATCAAACATTAAAACATATTCTGGTGGATTAGTAAATTTGATACAATAATGATATACATATAGTAAAATTTCAGAAAATAATATTCATTTGTTCATATAATCTATTGCGTGTAAGAGGTGACAATGTAAAACCACAGAGCCGAACCGTATCTATTCGGCACTGTCGCGATGATACATATCTTCAAACTTGAAACGTATTCTGGTAGACCACGTACCGACTGCATCACTGATCCTGGGTTGTCGGTTGTTCTCCGTTTGTATGCTATGCAGACTGAGAACAGGCCGAGAAGTGCCTCGCACCCGCCAACAACTGCCAGAAACACATTGACAGAATGGCTTTGTGATTCATCCGGATGATCGACAGAGGGTCCATGAATCTGAGCGTGATAGAAATGCTCCCCCTAAAAGATGCAGTGAATCAATTTTTAGTAAATTGACCCAGGAGTAATTTACTTGATGGACAAAAAGTAAAAAGATCACACTCGACTGTCAAACATCTTAATTTGTAGATGAATCTATAAAAGATTTCATAATTTTCCAACATAAGTATTTGCAATATTTAACAATTATGTTTTATGGTATGGCATAAACTTGAGCCACCCATCGCAAGCTACTGGTTTGATCCTAGGGGGAAAGACTTATCTGCACCACAGGTATATTTGGTGGCGTGGATTTGACATACAGGTACTTACTAAATAAGGGTAAAGTTTGCCTCACTTACATCGTCGTCATGCCCGAAGACGTGGTGAATCCAGACGGGACCGCCGGTCTGCCTAATAGCTCCGTGGGCACACAGAATCACGGTGAGCATCGCTACTAGCACCGAGGCAATGGACATTATCAAGAAGGCAGTAACCTGAGGAGGTCCAAACAATAAATCAATCAATAATATAAATAAATAAATAAATAAATAATAATAATATTTTTTTTTAGTTTTTTACCAGATATGTTAATTTGATATGGCTTTATGAAATATACTGTAACAAATTCAATACACCTGCGCTTTGTGGCCTTGTGATGTTATACTTGAAACTTAATATTTTCATTAATCATATAAAATACCTTATATTTCTTCGTCAAAAGTGATGCCGAATACCCACAGCAACCCGTTACGATAAACTGAAAAGGACATAAAATAGAAAGAATTATACCTACATCCAAAGTTCAACCCAATCTAGATCATACGATCAGTGATTAATAACAATTTTTTTCTTTTAAATATTCCATATGTAGTTTTACAATTATTTTTAATATTTAATCAATAATGACACAACTTGTAAAGTTCTGGTAGTTTTTTTTTCCTTACCAAAACACCGCCCCACAGCCCAATCCCGAGGTGACTCCATGGAGCTCGCTGTTGTATGGCCAATCCGGCCAACACAATACAAAGGATCCCAAATGTCACATGCACGCCCCCGACAATGCGATACGTGTTCTTGTTCGGGAAACGCCTATCGGGTCTCTGGACCAGTGCTGTGCGCTCTTGGGGAGGGGGTAAAATACGGATTTCGTTGGTCGCCATCGTGTGAAGCTTGTCCGGCTACCGCAATGAGAAACCTATACCCAAAATAAGAAACATTTTGTTTCATTATCGATAAGGGCACAGGAACGGACTGATTGGAGAAAAAATGAAGAAGAGGAATAAAGTAGAGCCGTATTCAGAGATCATGCAATCAGTGATTAATAACAATTTTTCTTTTTTAAAAATTCCGTTTGTAGTTTTACATCGTATGAGGCTTGTCCGACTACTGTAGTGAGAAACCTACATACAAAATAAGAAACTTTTGTTTGATTATTGACAAGGCAATACGAACCAATTCATCAGAAAAGCATGAGAAATAATGAAGAGGAGGAAAAGCACAGTCCCGTTTTTCGCATAAAGCAGCATGTCGCAGACGCAACGCATTTTGCTATGAAAAAAACTATGTTGATACGCAGGATTACGACGCATTTTGCAAAGACTTTTTGCTAAGTCACAGAAACGATTTGAAAAAACTATAGGGATATTAGACTATTTTGGTCTGTGGCTGTAGACTGAGGTTAGATGAATATGGGAGTGAGGGACCTGCCTTAACACAGTTCATCGTTACGGTTTCACTGAATATTAAACTGAATCTTTTCATTTCTTTGAATTTCCGTCCTTGTAATCTCACATTGAATCCCGACGATTTGTCTAAATATTATCATTTCAATTTAGTGTCAAAACTTGTCACGATTAGAAGGTATTGGGGTCTTAATATAAAAATGACTTTGGGGGATGGTGCATGATTATCGGGTTTTGCAATGTTTGTCAACATTTTCCTACAAATGTAAATTGCACGAAGAAAAATGACACGTCTTGTCTCTGAAGGTCCAATTTCCTTAATGCGACGTCACTGAGTGATTTCTCAAAGCTCGTGAGTTTAATATAACGAGCGCGTGCACGCAATGTAGCCCTTGACTGTGACAGGAGTTGAATGTTACTCAAGAAAAAATAATATTTTATTATCTATTTTTCTCCAGTGGAATGTACTTTATTCCAGCCTATTAAGATAAAGTATCAAAGCTAACGACAGTTCATTTTCCAGATGTATAATAAAAAGCATATATAAAAGTCAAAAGATTTTTAAAAGCTAAGAGAGATAGACCACTTTCAGGAAAAGGGATTACAAGCGAGTTATACGTGAACGCTTGTCCTCCTGCCTCATTGTAATTCATTATCCAGATGCATAGAGTAACCCCTGACATTTAACACGTAACACACCAGCTATCTCAAAATCTCCCTGTATAATTTCGCTGTAATAAGAACACGGAGATCTTGTCGCGTTCACGTTTTAAAACGTGGATGCCAAGTCACGAAAAGGAATATTTCATCAACTGTGGCCGAGTTGGGCTACTCCATAAAATTAGCAATTCTATTTAAGTGATAATGTCGACCAAAACGCATGTTAAATATTCTATAGTCACTGTTATGTTATAGACGTGATGGGCGGTGGAAGAAGCCAGTGACTTAGTTTGATTAATGAAATAATGTCATGAATACTTAAAAAAAGCCTCGAATCTGCTCTGGACGAAGTCAGTAACTAGAAGCAGTTTTTAGTTGTCAAAATCTATTTTGAAAAGAGCGACCCGCAATTACAAATAATATGTTTTCTTCATATGGTTATGGTCCCATAAACACTTTGACCACTTGGTCTTCAAACCAGACATTTACATCAACCCGGGTAACTGAAAACATCGGTTAGGTATGCGTAGTAGTGCTCAAAGCAATATGCATGAAGTTAACTATCTTCCAGAACCACCAAAGAATGCGGATCTCCCTTGAAATATTACGTTTAAATGTATTCTACAGCCTCGTTGAAAACTGGATTTGCGTACATTATCCACGATGAACGAGGCAAATTTGAGAAGTCTCTTACCTTTCTCTCCGTGCCTCCTCACAGCATGCTGATGTTGTTATCACTGCCCCGACTCGGTGAGTTGCGTGTCATGCGCAGCGTTCATCAACATAAATCTGTCCCATATGCTGATTCATCTATCCTCTTTATGTTCACTTTCAACTATCAGAGCGCACTTAAACAATGCAGCGCTGAGACGGGGAGTAAATTAAAGAGATGTAGGTATTATGTCTTTATCTACATCTCCAGGTTGGTTATATTGGTAAAATTTGGAAAAAAATGTTTGAATTAAAGCATGTTAGGTTATTTCTTTTTAGTTAGTCTACCAGCATTTAGAAACTATAGTGCATGGAAGAAGTAAAAACAATTGAACATGTGAATAAGATATATCATACGGATTTTTTGTTCGCACCTGTTCAAACACTTGTGTGACTGCAAAGTACGATGTAAAATCGGCACCGTTTTATTTTTGATTGGAGAAGGGGGTGGCGAATGCATGCTCACACTCGTACAAAATTCAGATGCAATGTACATGTTATTATGTACTATAAAAGAAAAAAGAGTACTTTATTTTTAGACCTTGTTGTGGAAATTCCTTTTCTTAAAACTTAGATCTATGACCTCAAAGAGACATAAATCACACCTGTGTATCTCCGAGAGAGGTCTGATATATAGTATATGCACGTTCCATTGTAACATGTTGCCGGAGAGAAGACCCTAGGCTACAAAACAAGTGGAAAGGGTCTTTCAATGGTATATTCCAACACATTTTGCACACAAGTTCTCTTTATACGATATCGAATAGTGAAATTTACACCCTTACTAATTTTGCTTGCTTAGTATAAAATGTGTTAGCGAGGAGTTCTGTCGTAACTCCTTGATGTTAGAGATGTACATGTAGAAAACGTGACCATTTCAAACTTTGTTTAACCTGCGCCTTATATATATATATATATTAAGTGGTGCGCATGTTATGTTGAACTCTATCTGACACAATAATTTAAAATTACTCAAATAGAAAAGTTGGATATCACATAGGGCTTAAGCCTCAGGGCCAAGCAAATGAAAACATCTTATTCATTAGTTGTATTTCAAAACAATCCAACGTCATATTTTCTGTCTAAATATTTTGCAAAGCTTGTTGTCTTCCTTGTTCCTCTGGATTTTTTCAAAAGAAAAGTTATTATTCACCCTACCCCACTTTCAAGCGGTGAAAACCAAATGAGTAGGGGTGCCACGTGACAGCATTTATTTGACCCAATAAAGAAGTCAAAAGGGCGGTCAAGACGATGAAGAAACTTTTTAGCACATGCATGACGAGGTATAAAAAGGCAAAGGGTGCACGACACAAGGTTTGCAAGGATAGAAATAAGATATTAATAGAACAGACCTTGGCATGCCAACAAAGGAAATAGATGTGATAAAGTTGAGACCTTGCACGAGTCAAACGATGCAATGGTTCCATTGCACTGGTACCGGTACTTGGTCCATTTGGTAACATAATAAAAGAAATACCATTTTACCTTGCAGAGGTGCTTTGTAGAACAAAAAACCTGAAGTTGATAAAAATAATGATGCACAAAATAGACTACTGTCAAAATATAATATTATGCTTAAAAGCAAATTCAACACGTAAGTTTTAATTATGCACAACAGGTAAAACGGATGTAAGGCTTCAGGCCTATGAGAATTCACAATTTGAAACAGCCAGATTAAGACAAGGTGATGTTTTTAGTTATAGACCAGTAAATGTTTTTTTTTATATCTGCTTTTCTAAGTGTTCTTTTTGAGTACATGTAGTATCTATTATGGTGGGAAGTTAAATTAATAAAGGTCTCCTTTCATCTTCGTGAGATTGCGATCAGTCATTCCATTTTCACAGGAGATGCAGCCATCAATTGCTAAAACAAAAAACTTTTTCTAATTCTGGAACTTTATAAACTAGAGATCCCGTGTTTATTTAAAATTGTAGAGTTTATCAAGCACAAAACTGGAGGTGGTGTTTTTTTAAGTTTAGAAGTTACGTTATTTCAAAAAGTACAATGTTGCAGTGCACATTGCTACATACACTAGGTTTGGGGAGGCAAAATTGGATGAGGAACTTTTGTGAATTTTGATTTAATATGGGTTCATTGAGGAAAACTACATACAGTGTATCTCTACCTACTTTTGGCATGAAACACGTGTCAGGGATGGAATTCTGTTCACATAACAGGCTGAGATAGTACATAACCCCTTATCTTACAGATATATACTAGTAAACATATATCTCTATATATCAGTTGTTCAATTTTAAGGGATTGATAAATGAAGCATTCATTTGTGTTATTTAAATTCAAAAATAACTATTTTAATCAAACACTGACTGCATTCTTCTTGCTCCAGGAGAGCATCCAGTACAGCTCTAGGCCACTAAAATTTCTTCCGACTCGAGATGTCATCAAAGAAGTTTGCAGATGCAATAGCCAAGGCACAAAATCACAAGCTGGGGATTGACCCGAAGGCAGCTGCTCTGCTTGAACTTGATTTTCTGGCTCGTGTGAACCAGTTCCCAAACTTATATGGTGGACCTGTAGTCAGACGTGCCATTCAGCGATATGAGGAATTATGGTTGCCACTTGCTGCAAGGCTCAAAGGCCAAAAGATTGCCGCTCCTCTTGACATTGCCTGGGTATGGCACTGCCACATGCTGTCCCCACTCAAATACAGAGAGGATTGCATGGCACTTGTAAACTCAGTCATACACCATCATCTGCTCAGTGACCAAGAGAGAAGTGATTGTTTGCTGAAGACCAAAGGTTTCTGGATACAGGAATATGGTCCAGATGTCCCATTTGCAGTGGACTTGACAGATGATATTTCACCATCCTATGATTACCAAACAAAATGTTCTTACAATTTAGAGGCAGCCATTGAAAGGCAGAGTGTGTTCTATTATCAGGTATCCCTCCCCCATTATAGATCCTGGACCTTCTTAGAGAAGGCTGTTCAGCGTTACAAAATGTTTTTGTATTTGAAACAACAAAATCCTGATGCCTTTCTTGTCCCCTGCTATGACATTGACCTTGTCTGGCATGCACACCAGGTACATCCAAACATCTACCAAATAGACACAGTCAACATATTGAGAAAAATGCTAAACCATGATGATACTGTTAATGATCGCAGCGAGGGATCCAAGCTTGACAGAGCAAATAAACTGACACGAAGACTTTGGCAGGCTTTATATGGTGTAAGCATTGCACAACCTGGATGTATGTTCCGTGGTTCTCCACCAGAGGGGAAGATTGTTGCCATGACGACTGCACAGGTCAGCAGTATCACCTCCAAACACACTCATGTCACCATCACAAAGGCAGATGCCATCAACGTACCACCTAGCACCAGAGAAGGGAAAGTCAAAATTTTCCTCTGTAAGCTTTCTTTACCCCTTGGACCCTCAAAAAAGGTCTTCAAGAGAGCATGCAAGCACATTGTGTCATTTAAAATACCGTCTGGCAGCTTTAAGGGGAAGCGTTTTTTCTATGACACAGGGAAGCACCCATACCTTATTCTCCAGGCCATTGACACAACAAGGACATGGTGTGGCTGTGGTGGGGAGGAGATTGGGCTCAGTCAGCACCTTCTGGCATATCTTGTAGAGGAGCACCTAGGGAAGTACCACCATTTTTCTCTGACTGTTAGGTTTCCAGAAGAGTTGAACGTCCAGCTTA